GTGTGTGTAGTGTGTGTGTGTGTGTGTGTGTGTGTGTGTGTGTGTGTGTGTGTGTGTGTGTGTGTGTGTGTGTGTGTCTTATTGTGTGCACTCCGTTATTACCAAGATTATTAAATTATGAAGCCTTCACTGCTGTTGTCATGGCCTCAAGTGCTTTCGGAAATATGAGCTTCTATTTTTGTCTCGGGCCAAACATCCAATTTGAGACACAAACAATTCATGACTCGCTTAATAAGAGCATCGGAGGATAAAAAGCAAAATGAGGAAAAAGACATTTCAACCTCAAATAATTGGAGATGACATAGTTTCCTCCGCAGCTCCTAATGATCATACTGTGATTGATGCTGATGTTTTCTGCCTGCAGGAGAATGACTACCTACAGGAGTGCCTTGAAGTGGTGCAGCAGGAGTTCATGATCTTCAACCGAGAGAAGTAAGAGAACACGAGCAGCAGACCGTCCATAACGTGATGCATCAATACAGAGAGATGACGATATTAAGAGAATAACACTGTGCTGCCCTTCTCCTTCATTGAAAGGCACAATCATTTCTTCATGAAGGAGAACATGTTAAAACTGTTTTTTCACCAGTGGCCATTGGTTCTCCATTGTGCTAACATTACTCTATATATATATATATATATATATGCTCTAATATCAATTAGAGCAAAAAATATCAATCCAACGGTTTTGTTAGATTTGTTCACACATTCATTTAGTCAGAAGATGACACTAATCATGCCTCCCTGCTCAGAGAAACATTCTCTGTCCTCAGTCCTGGAGTTGGGGAAGTATTTTAAGTAGAAGTTCTTGGAAAGGAATAATCATTTTACTTAATTTCCTTAGCTTTAATAATCTACTGTATTTAGTCATATGTTTACAAACATGCACTTGGTCACAGTGAACTCAACAAAGATGTTTTAGGCCGTTATTCAAAAATGTAATTTTTTTTTAAAAGGGCAATTTCCCTTAAATGCCTAAAACATTAAAATGATCAGTGATGACATTTTGGCCAGTCATGGGTTGAAGTTTTGAACAACTTGCAAAGAACTAGTCATGTTTTAACTTGATAGTTTATTATGACTGCTAAAAAGAATGGGCAGATCTCTTTAAAGTAATAGTTTTTTTTTTTGTACTTAAAGGTTCACAAATAATGCTTTTATTGTAATAAAGAGTTTAAAGTATCCCCCACCACCAGCTGCATTTGAACAAAGACTTGCACGTGGAGCTAAAAGTGAACGTGCCCTGAAGCGAGAACGGTGTCAGGAGATTATCAGCTGCACAGCAAATACTCATTTATTAGACAAAATAAAGTGTGCAGTGCATCTGGATAAAGTTTCTGGTACAGGAAGTTATTTAGTTTACAGGAGAGGAGTGCATTTTATTCCAAACCTGCCTGACCGCCAAGCCTCTGTGAGCAAATGACTTGGGTACGTTCAGTAAATCGTAAATTACAGAAGGTTATAAAATCCCCCCCTTCTGCGGCTATAATATTATTTTTGTAGATGTCAGTCAAATATATACAGTACATCATAAATATAGACAATGAGGTCCGTCTCTCATTGGATATTTGTCCTCTCTGCGATGTTAATGGAGGAATATTGGTTCAGCGCGGCTCTAAATGATCGCCTCATTTATTATTGACTGGGCCCTGCCACTGCTCTGTTACTGGAATCCTCCTGTTTGGAAAATGTCTTTTTATAGCCCTTTGCTCTAATTAATGGCAATCTGCTTCTATTTATAATGGAGGGCATAATATCTAGAATTATGCACAGCAGAGATGAGTACCATATAATAAACTCAAAGCCTCTCATTACGTTCAACCACTCGCTATTTATTTCTGTCTGTGTTTCTGTTACTACTTTTCTGAGGACTAAATGAGGGGGCCTGAACTTCCAAAAGGGCTTAGAATTCAAATCAGATTAAGAGGTCTACCTAATGTGCATGTATGCAGATCATATTCTAGTTTGTCTAACTGATTTCTTAATTTTGTCATAAAAACCATGTCTGTTGACATGCCTTGAATTTGCCTGAACATTTCAGCGCTGGCCTTTACCGACAGAACCCTGTCATCTCCCAGTGAGACGTTTTCGTTGCCATCTTTACTTAAATCTCCTTCTTCTTCACCTTTAGGATTTCTGGTTTCTTGCCGTTTTAAGCGAGTAGCAATATAAATCATGAAATCGAGTTCAATAACTTACAGGCCCAATTCTCACAAATTGAAGGAACCAACACAAAGTACTCAGATCTTGTACTTAAAGGTCCCATGTCATGGCCATTTCTACTGATCATTATTCCATTGTTGAGGTATACTAGAATAGATTTATACTGTGCAATTTTCCAAACTCACATTGGTTTCTCATACAGCATCTCTGTATAGTACACGAGGGGATAGGACGTGCTGAGCGCGTCCACAGGGGGTGCGTCACAGGGGGTGCGTCCACAGTTTTCACTGCAGAGAGGAGTGGTTGTTTTGACCATCGAGTCATTTGGGTATGGGCACGTCACCATACCCAGGAAGAAAAAGAGAAATCCCCAACGAGGCGTTCTGGGGCAGCATAGACAGGTCTTTTCTGTGTTAGAGTTTTACTCGCTACAGGGTGTACTTTGAGGGTTTGTGACTCTGCAGACCGTTTACATGCAGAAGCTACATAACACACAAGGGGACGGGTAATAACCAGAAAAGCATGACATGGGACCTTTAAGTGAAATCAGAATCAGAAACGGGTTTATTGCCAGGTAGGTTCACACGTACGAGGAATTTGACTTGATGTCATGGTGTATACATAAAACATAAAACAAAAAATAAAATAAAAATACACAGATAGCGAACTATATTAAGAACACTGTAAAAAAAATATTGATAGATAGCAATACAATAAAGTTAAGCAGTAATTTACAGCGAAATAGAATGCAGTGAATTATAGAATATGAAATATGTGTAGTAAGCAATATTTGAACATTGTGTGCATTAATGTAATGCATATATAGTCTGCCTTATGGCTGAGGTAAAGTTTCAGTGAGGGGGGAGGGCCAGGAAAGTAGTGATACCAGAGTGTACACATACACTCTGTTAAGTAAACGTGCTGCATTCATAATTGTACTTAAGTATAAGTACAAACAGACTGGAGCATCCAAATATACTGTACTTAATTTTCCAAAAGTAAAAGTGCTCATTATGCAGAATGGCCATTTTCTGAATAATTGATATAACATTACTGGATTATAATAAGTAATCCTCAAGTGTGTACATCCTTTTCATGATGTTCATCCATTTGTCTTCTTCCAGGTGATCCATAATGGTATATCATAATTAGTAGTAGCCTATTTACTTACATTAAGTTAGAAAAATTATCAAATTAAATAAAATTGTTCTCTTTAATAAAATCTCAAAACTTTTATTAAAGTCTCCTTTTGTCTTTTGTCCAAAATTGTGAAGGCCTTAATTATTTTCTCGGAAATTCACTTCAAGGACTGTGGAAGCATTTTTAAAGCTTTATATCTGATATTCTTGTCTAGATAATATAAGTTCTTGTCTCAAAGGGGCTTCCTCGTGTTCCTCTCTCCCTCAGGTTGAAAAGGCGTCAGGAGGAGGGTCCGCCCGAGGCCGGGGGGGATGATGCCAGTGGAGACGGGGACGGGGACGGGGAGGCTGAGGGCGGGGCCACCGACGAGGATGCAGCCGAGCCAGAGCCGGAGCCCGAGCCGGAGCCCGAGACCTCCTCCAAACGGAGCATGTGCGGCTCGGTGTGCTCCTCCCCTGGCAGCTGCTAGCCCTTCAGCGCCTCAGAGACCCTCGCAGGCTTTGCCAGCTGCAGTGTCTGTGCCATGCCAATAGAAACATTTTCACCTCTCTCTGTTGTAGCCAGGAGCGGAGGGGCCGCACAGCAGGACCCCCAATTTTCCCTCCTTTTTCCCCCTGTAGCATCCTTCAGGTAGGGCATGAATGAAGCAGATTTCCAGAGAGTCCCCGTCTCCTGCACCCATACGCCCTAGAGTAAGCTCTAACTTCTATGCAATCTTACAGTATAGCATGACAAATAAAGTATCACTTACTAGGAGGAGTTGTTCACAAGCAGGAAGCTCCACGAGCATGATGACATCCCGAGAAATAGCCGTCCACGCTCTTTGGGCCATTGTGGTTTAGGGTGAGGACGCCTCCCCTCTCAGCCTTCCTGTTCAAAATCTGATGGGGGCGACTGAATTATTCAGCACACGCAGCCAGCCACTCAGTTTAGGCTATTGCCTGAGTCTTCAGTTCACTTCCTCTCCCCCAGTCTCTTTCATGTAATGTGTGCCCCAATTCAGAACGCTGGTTTCTCCTGGAGCAACTTCTCCGAGACACATGTACAGTAAGTGGCTGTGTTCAGACAGGCCAAGAAATTGCGGCTGGTTTCATGTCGTAAACCCGTTTCAAGTTGTGCCTGTCGATGATAATCAGTATTCGTTAATCTCATCGTAGCCATGGGTGCATTAAAGGTCAGAATGTTAGTTTGATTTTCCTCTCTAATGGCGCTTTTCCACTGCAGCACGTAGCACGTTTTTTTTTGCTTTTCCACTAGGGGTAGTTCCGGCTCAGGGCTACTCTTTCACCTTTTTTCTGGCCCTCCAAAATCGAGGTTCTTACCGGGCCAACAACCGGGCAGAATATGCTAAACTAGTGACGTAAACACTCTCGACTGCTGAATGGTCAGAGAGAGAATCGCTGGCAAGGGGGCTACAACTACAACAAAATGAACATATTTTACCGTGATTTAATTGTAATACACGTTTCAAAATGATGCCGAAGTAACAACATACTGATACCGGTCTGTAGACAAGACGGCAGTTGAAAAACCTTTTAAAATGCTTGTTTTCTGAATGGAGATCGGCTAACGTTGTATATGCGCCGTCCACACTCACAACACAACAATGGCCTACAGACACAAATACACAGATGGTCTGTGGTTTGTACTTGTTTAACTGTTGTCTAGTTTCTGAACAGATATGAGGAGCTGTGAGCTCTGAGGGCTAACAGCTAACGGCTGATGTTTTGGTTCTTGTGGTTCGCATTGAAGATGACGTCACGGCAGTTTTTCGCAGCGTTGCTCCGTCCGCCAAACAGCCTATCGCCCCGCCTATCGCCCCGCCTATACTGCGTTACTATAGTTACTACCCCAGTTCCTAAACTGTAATGGAAACGCAGCATAAAGTGAGCCTGGCCTACCAAGGCCTAACCATACCGTACTAAGCTGTGCTAGGTCCTGCAGTGGAAAAGCGCCATAAGTTTTAGATAACTTATTTTTCCAATCTTTTTTAGGATGATAAGGTTCTATAATTGATGGGAAATCAGTGCAGCAATCAGAAAGAACATGTTGCTTGTCTGTGATTGTTACCAAGATGTATTTTAGCCCTGCTCCATTCTCTGACTCATCATCAGAACCTGTTCATGGGGGAATACTGTAAATGCCAATCACTAACAATCCCATTTTTAAGAATCTATTAGAGAATTCTGCTTACTTCATCATCTCTTTAAGTGCTTGGTTATAAAGATCTTGTTGAGCTTGTTCCAGGGCTGTACTTAAATGTGTAGCTGTGCCCTGTTGGTACTTCAAATCATATAGATGAGCTAGCCTATTACTGTCATAGTGATAGCGGTACATTTAAGGGGTCCCATTCATCTCAGTCTGAACACCTGGGAACATGTAGCAAAGGTTCACCTTAAACCCTAAGGCCTAATCAAATAAAGTAAAAACGTGTAAATAGCATACAGTGTGGGTAATTTAACTCACCACAGTTTTATGTGGGACTGCAAACTCGACATATAAAAAAGGAAGAGCCTTGTGAGCTTTTGTTCTGCTCTTCTTTCCAAGTGTGCAGGCACAACTTGTAGGCAAAATATGCCAAAGCTTTTCTACCATTTGCATAACCATTTCTAAGGAACTCTGAATGTGTAATTGTGTGTCTCTTTTTCCCCGGTATGAAGTCAATGTTCCTTCTGCAAGTGAAAATACTATCATTTATACAGTTATATTGTGTATAAAGTAACTATTTCAGGTAAGTGGAAGACCTTAAAGCTAAATGTATACATTCTGGGATATACACTTATTGGCTGTCTTTAAAAGAAAACAGGAGATGATCCCTCTCATGTCTAGAGCAAAAAGGCGATTAGCATAACTAAACAAAGATTAGCAGCAGGGGAAAGCAGCTAGCTTGACTCTTAAGTTAAAAAATCCTTATTACGGTAACAACAGTAATTAAAAAAAATACTTTCATTTTAATTAATGTCAGAAGAAGTTCATGCTCACAAATGTGGAGCAGTGAGTTTTTGTAAACTGTAGTAGGTGGATACTAAACTTTGGAGAAAGCTAGGCTAGCTGTTTTAGGAGACTCTAGAACAGGGGTGTCCAAACTACGGCCTGCGGGCCATTTTTAATTGGCCCCCAGCAAATTCAAAAGGTATAATGGAATGCGGCCCACAAATGAAACTTGAGTTTGTCTTATATTGTACTTCTTAAATATATCTGTAAACATATGTTACACAGTAGTGTTCATGTGTTAATAAACCCACTTTCAGTCAATTCAAGTTGAAAATATGTTCTAACAAAAAAACGTTGATAAGAAAAAAGCCCAATAACTTAATTAAATAATAACCTTGAAATATACCCTTCCTATTTCCTCTTATGATAAGCAATATGAGGCTTCTGTTTGAAGGAATGAGGAGCTGCTAAGAAAATAAATGAAACCCTATGGAAAGCTGTGATGTAGGCTGTATCAAGCATAATTTACTTACATTTGATTGATTTAGCTAACTTACATTATAACTTCACTTATGAGGCAATAAACCTCACCTTTAGTGAGTGGCCCAGCCCTTCGAATATTTTTCTGTATGTGGCCCTCTGTGAAAAAAGTTTGGACACCCCTGCATTTGATGTTTACACAGCTTTTTTTTTTTTTACTGTGAGTCACGCTACTTACAGTTCTGACTCATCAGTGGCCTGCAGAGTTTTAATGTCATCTTTTAGTTCCAGCTCAGCTTGTTTCATACCTCAAGATGACCAGCTGCTAGCCCTATGGAAAAAAAGCAGACCAAAACCGCACCCCCACTCCCTTCACTGGCTGCCAGAGGCTGCACACTGTACTGGTCCACTGTGCAGAGAATGGATCCAGCCCATCCTACATCCCGGACATGGTTGGACCACCCCTTCACTCTGCATCAGCCAATCAGCCTGCTACTACCTCACTGCGAGTGAGAGCCAGTTCCCCCTTACCAACACACACCTGTTTGCTTCCTTGACTCCAAAATAATGGAACGAAACACGTATCAGGACAGCAGGAAGTCTGCAAGTCATCCGTTGCAAAATGAAATCCACCTGTTCGCTTTTACCTTGGCCATCAAATTCAACAGTGAAAATGTGCCAAAACTCCTAGTTAATCTGAACATGGGCATCGTCAGTGAACTGAGACAGAAACCATCCGTCACTTAGAGGAGCCATGACCTAGCAATGTGAAACTTGCTTTAATATAAAAAAAGGGAAGTTTTCATTATGGAAGAAACTAGCTATAGAGACCAAAAGCATTTTTGTACCAGGCTGTCAACATGTTTATTTCTGCAGCATGCTCAGATTTTAAGATCGATTGGTAGCTTGTGAAAAATGTGTCCAATGTTTACACCTTGGTGACCGTGAAGTGAAGGCAATCTGTAATTTCACAAGTTTTTCGAGCATCAGAATCAGAAAGCCTTTAATGGTCCCAGGGCGAGGAAATGTACGACATCACAGCAGCTACAGACACAGATCCCAACACCACACATAGAGACTCGGGTTCCCACGGTACCTGGAAAACATGGAATTAATTTTTTCATTTTCAGGGTATGGAAAAGTCATGGAAACTGAGCAAAAGTGAACACTTACATGGAAATAGAAACAGTTGTCTTGGAAATTTTTATTGGATGAGGTGTAAAATAGTAATAAAATGAAACTATTCCCTTTGGAGAAAAAATAAGATGAGTTTATAAACCCTTTACATGTGAACGCTTTTACTGTAAAGGATAGAAACTGGATGCATCCCATGTTTAGAGCATGGCTCTTGGCATCCCTATATAGGTAATAATATGAAGGGATGTTTGGATTTGATGGGGGCAGAGCAACTTGAGTGACATAGAGACTCTTAAACAGATATATAGTTTCAGGATTGAGGATCAGGAACTCAGGAATAACCGGAAGTACTAACCCACGAATCACTAGGAGGTCTCTGACATTTCGCATCAACAAAAAAAAAACACAACAAACAACAAGCGAAAAAAAAAAAAACCCCAGCCACAACGGGACCCTTCGCCACTCGACAGTGAAACCTCTCTTAATGCAAGCTTTATCCTCAATGTAACGTCAGGCTGTGTTTTAACTGTGGTAAAAGCTTGGGTTTATCGCAACGTTAGTTAAGTAAGCAGTGCAATCTTGCTAACTACGCTAGCAGCTTGAGTTTCGAGTTCGTTTTGAATTTGGTATTTTGTTAATGATGGTTACGGGCAAAGCACATTGAAGTGGCAATATTGCTAGCCAACATTTCAGATTTGCTAAACTAGCTATGTGTGTGTCTAGCTTGCATTGGCTGAGCTAAAGACCCAATACATTTTCACATTTAAGGCCCACTGTGACTTAACTTCTAATACCTACTTTGAGCATGAGATAGTCAGTCTCTGATACATTTTGCTTAACATTCATTCTTACTACTCG